ACAAAATTTTTGTATTAAAAAGTTCTAAAATGTTAACAGTTGAATTTATCAAAAAACCATTGTTATAATATGTCAGTTTTTATAATCGACTTACTAAAATTAATAATATAAATACTATTAAAACAAATTAAATGTTTTAATAGTAAAATATATAAAACTTATTTTCTCAAGCAGAACACAATTTGAAATTTGATTAATTCTTTAATATAAAGCATCATTACCGTTTATTTAATGCCACATGTCATGTTTATGGTTGTAATTTATTGGATAATGCAAACACATCTGTTTTATTATACATTATTGAATATCATAGACATAGTTTGAATTATTAGACTCTTTTTTATTTTATTTTAAACAATTAAAATAACATCAAATTTTATTAGTGTTTAATTTTTTTACTATCATATTATAGTTAAATTACATTATTAAAATGTATAATATTAATAATATATTATGTAGTTTTTATTTTTTAATTTTTTTTAATTATTCATAATAAATAAACTATATTTTATTATAATAATATTTGTACTATTTAATTATTAATATTATAATACAGTCGAATTAAATCTACTTGTGATGGTATTTTTTATAAAAGTGATATGATTTTTATAAAATGTATTACATTTTTGATAAAAATAGTGAATTAATTGAAAAGTGATAGTAATTTGTTTGAAAAAATGTGAGTATTTTTTATAAAAGTGATAAATAATCTTAAAAAATGATGGGAAATTATATCAAAAATGATGGATTTTTCTCAGAAATGATGCAATCTATAAGGGAGTGACCAACAATATTTTGAAAAAGTTTATGATTTTTAACATTTGTGACAGATTATTTTATATATAAATAAATGTCGTTAATTACTGAAACTTCCCATTATTTTAAACAAAAAATGAAATAAACACAAATAAACATAAAATATTACAAAAGATGTGTATACATTGTTTTTTCTTTGAGTTATATGTACTATAAAAACAACTTTAATTTAAATAATAATTAAATGTCTCATTCACTCACATATCTTGATGCAAGAGATCCAATTACTCGAAGCGATTATATAGAAAACCTTCCACAACTTCTACAAGGAGAGCCCGTGGAATCACGGCATATTATTCCTTTTATACCACCACAATCTGAAAGAAGAAAAAAAGAACGACCAAAAAATGTAACAATTATTACACAAGTCAAAAGATCATACAATAGAGTATTGCTTTCTGATAAGTTTGAATTGATTAAATTATTTCGAAAATATAAAGATACCGTTGAACCGGAATTCTATTGTACCAAAGTTGGTATTAAAGTTAACACTTTAAATAACTTGTAAATAATTCAGAAATCGGTAGCAAATTTCAAATCAGTGCATGGTCGGGGTAAAATTTTGCTTTTGAAATGGTTTTGTGAATATTTAACTTACTAATGTAATAGCCTTAATGGAAAATTGTATAAATGTAGTGTGGTCTAATGTTAACAGGTTAGATTTTTTCCTTGTGATTTTTATATAAAGGAAAGGTATTAAAAGGTAAAATTTAGTTTGGTTTAAAATTTGAAAAGAAAAAAAAACGGTTAAAGCTACAAGGCGGTTTTTTTGTCCGCCGAAAATTAAAAAAAAACAAATGACGCTTAAGAATTAATTGGACTGAGATTTGTCACTACTCGATTTTTGGATATCTTTTTGTATTTTTCTCTTTGTCTGGCTGACTCTTCTTGAGAAAACAGAACATCTCAGAAAGAATTGATCATATATGGAGCCTTTGCACTTTAAACATACTATCAGAGAGTGTCGAGAGCAGCAAGCTCTTTGACACATAAAGCATTTCTTTTTAGTTCGTCTTTCTATTTTCTTTTCTGGCTTTTTGTATGACATTGAACAGAACATGCTTCACAAACTCCACGTTCTTGGTTCATATTCATGGTTTGGGTATTTGTAAGTTTTTCAGCTAACTCGTCATTTACGGTTTCCAAGACCCAAACTACTCTTTCTTGTTCATCACAGGGAAGGACTCAGTGATCCACTTTTCGCACAAAGCCTTTCCCAAAGTTCGTAAGAACTTTGCATGGTCTAACGATTTATTGAAAATGCGAGTGATTACAAACGTGTTTGTCATAGCAACAACCAATATGTTCTTTAATAATGCAAATGTACACCTTCTAGAACGGAAGGAAATATCATAATTTGCACACCGTAACTTGAATATGTCAACGGGGTACTTCAAATTGTTGTATACATCGTTCAGATTCGATATCTTACCATTCTTAATCAAACCACAATCTTCAAGAAAAGTGCACACGATAAGGACCATCTAAGATTTTTAAGAAGAAAACTCATTTAAAAACATATTCCCGCATTTCCAAAAAATGATTCGAATAAGGATTCGTTTCTTTTTCGTTTATAATTTTTTCTTTTAATTCGGAAATCAAAGTTGTTTTTTAATGATTCTTCTTTTGTGAAATCGGGAAAATGTGGTTTTTTCTTGGTTTCATACTTATCATGTTTTTTGATAATTTTCAATTCTTTTTCTAGTCAAGAAAGTTCGATTTCATGTTTAGTTTGAGCTGCTTTACCTTCATTTGGCAAAAATTTACTTTTCCTTAATGTCCCGATAATTTCAATGTTTTTATTCTTCCAAATTTCCAAATTTGATAATTCCACAAATCTTGAATCCATTTGAATTTTGTAATTTGACTGTCCACTCTCTCTGTTTATAGAATTAATCAGTTTATCTGCCAATTGCCTCCTGATATGACCATTTTCATTCACACACCCTTTATAGAATTGGAACATGTCGACACAAAGTCCACTTTTTGTATCAACCAATAAAATATATTCGAAGCCTCTTTTTATAGGCTTCATTGGATTATATATTTTATCCTCTGCCTTACCCCAAAATTTAAACATTCTCTCGTCTATACAAAGTAATTCTCCAGGAAAAGAAATTTTTTGCATTTTTCTTGAAAAATTTTTGTGATTTCGTAAATACCAACTTGATGAATTCCATTTTTACGTAATTCCTCTTACTTTGTTTTGTCATCACAGCGAAAATAACGACATAATTCGTTAAAACGAGTAACACCGAACAAAATTTGCACAAATGGAACCCCAATTTCCGGGTCATAAATATCTTACGTGGAAAGTTGCCATTTCATTCCAGCGAGGTAAATAAGTGTACCCAAAAAAGCCAAAACTTCAGTGTTGGTGACCTTTTTTAAAAATATTAATTCTATTTTTATCTTCGCTCGCCTTTTGGTTTATTTTATTTACAATAAAATTAACAATTTCATCGCAAAAACAATACAAAAATATTGATTTGGGAGTTTTTAAAATATTTTCATCAAGCGTAAATTTTATCAACAAATAAAAACATCTTAACCAATAATGATGAGTATTTAAGTTTAACGAGTCCAATATATACATATGGATATGATTGGGATAATTATTATAAAATATCATTTATAATAGAAACATTTAATGACGTTTTTAAAGAAATGAGTGAACAAATTTAACCATCTTCTGTGTTGTGTGTTGATGAAGACTTATTCAGATATTTTGGCCATTACCAAAACAAAGTTACAATGCCTTCCAAGCCTTCTAAATGTGGATTTAAAATATTCATGTTGGTCGATTCAGAAACAAATGCCGTGCTTAATACCTTTTTATACAGAGGAAGTAACAACGGAGAAGTTTTCCACCGTTTGGGCGAACGCGTTGTAATTAAATTGATGGAGTCTTTTTGGGGAAGTGAATATACTTTATTAACAGATCGTTATTTTACTTCACAAATATTATATGAATATTTGGCAAACCGAGGCATAAATATAAAAAGAACATTGGATTCAAAAAGGAAGGAAGTACCAAATGAATTGAAAAGAAAAGGAAAGCGCACAGATGGGTCTTTAGTAACATATCATTGTTCAAATGGGAGTTACTTATCGAGTTTTATTGATAAGAAAACTAATGTACTATTACTGTCTAGCACTAAACCCAACGAAGTGGATGTAAATACAAGGAAAAAGTATCA